TTGGGATGAAACTAAAGCACGTTGTAGAGAGAAAATGACCCTTGATTTCTCTCCCAGGCCAATGAATTGTCCTTGGAACAGTTTGACCTCAAAGAAGAAGTTTTGTTTGATCTCAGTTTTAATGATGCCACTAAATTGGAGCAGCTCTGTCTTCATCATTTCCAAAAGTTTTCAAGTGTTTTATTATGGATGAAAGTTTAATGTTGTGAGACACCATGTGCGTCACATCCAACGTCTGCTTCTCCTCCAAATATGTAAGAGCAACAGAAATGGGCAATAAACCTAAATGCTACTAAAATTAAGCTCCAAAATAAATGCTGGTTTTAGAAGGAAGGTGTTTTCCTGTCAACTTATTGAGGTCAGCTATATCTGGAACCAGCAGAGCTGCAGGATTATTTAGATAGAATATCACATGTGTGCAGCACTTCCAGAACAACAAAAGGAGCCCGTGTAAAGCCCAGAGCTGCTCTGAGAAAACTGGAGGTGGAAGGTGTCATACCAGCAGGAGTAGCTGTGGGACTCGTTTGCACAGGCACAGGAAAAATATTTCTCTAAGAAGAAAAAAAACAAGTCATGTAATAAATGTGCTGAGCCACAAGCGCCTTGTGAACCACAGGTGTTGAACCCCAAGTAGCTGGGCCATTCACATTACATGAAACAGAAGTTCTTTCTACTTTCAAATGTGTTTTCCATTAAATGAAATAAGATTTTGTAACCTGGTAATGAATGAACAGCTGAGGCAGCTCAAGCAATGGGAAGGGGCACCAAGCTCACCAAATCATGAAGGGAGGCAGGGGGTGTCTTATTTCATAATGAACTCAGGTATTTTGACCTCTCTTTGGAAAAAAAAAGGAAAAAAGACAACCAAAAACTGGGAGAGCTCAGGGATGAGCCACAGGAATGATGTGAGATACCTCTTGAAATGAGAGAAATCAAGTCTGTTAACAGAAAAAGAGAGGAAAGGGGTGATTTGCTACAGGAGAAATCACCTGGCCCTGGCTGAGCTTGAACCACAAAGGTAAAGCAAAATCCGCTGTCTGGACACAGAACCTGGAGAACTCCAAGTGGAAGATGTGGTGATTCATGAGGGGAGAGAGCGACCTGGCCTCTGTGGAAGTAAATCCCTGCTGAGGCAATTTCTCAGGTGGAAATGCAATTTCTATATTCTATTGTCTTATAAATGCATCAAAACATGAAATTATCACTATCCCCAGCAGTGTGACCAGAGGGTGAGGGGGGAATTCTGCCCTGCTCAGGTGAGACCCCACCTGCAGAGCTGCCTCCAGCCCTGGGGTGCCAGAACAGGAAGGGTGTGGAGCTGCTGGAGTGAGTCCAGAGGAGGCTGCAGAGATCCTCTGAGAGCTGGAGCCCCTCTGCTCTCAGGCTGGGAGAGCTGGGGCTGTTCATCTGGAAAAGAGGAGGCTCCAGGGAGACCTCAGAGCCCCTTCCAGGGCCTGAAGGGGTCCAGGAGAGCTGGAGAGGGATTTGGGACAAGGGATGGAGGGACAGGACAAGGGGGACTGGCTTCCCCAGTGTTAGACGGGATATTGAGAAGGAATTAATCCCTGGTGGGTGGCCCTGGCAGAGGACTGAGCAGCTGGGCCAGGGCAGGCTCCAGTCATGGTAACAATCTGAGTCAGTGAGGTCAGAAAAGCCCTCCAAGATTATGGAGTTTACCCCATGCCCAATCCCCACCTTGTCCCCCAGCCCAGAGCACTGAATGCCATGTCCAGCTGTGTCTCAAGCACCTCCTCAGACAATGGCCACTTGAGCAGTCTATTCCAATGTTTAATCCTCCTCTCTGTGAAGAAATTCTTTCTAATGCCCAACCTAAACCTCCCTGGCACAACTCAGGGCCATTTCCTCTCCTCCTGTTCCTGTTCCCTGCAAGGAGAGCCCAACCCCACACCAGGCTGTCCCTCATGTCAGGGAGTGATGGAGAGCCAGAAGGTCCCCCCTGAGCCTCCTTTTGCTCAGGCTGAGCAACTCAGTAAGAAAGAGGAGAAATTGCTTTTACAAATACATCAGCAAAAATGTGAGGAGAAAGGATAATTTTTATTCTATGGGGTTTCATGATCAGTGGGGTTTAACCCACCACCTCCATCCCAGGGTTTTAATCCTTGCTACTCAAACGTGAGTCCTGCTTCTGGTACCAGATACATGAGCACACACACACACATACACACAAAATCACGTGCACAGCCCTGAACATACACAGATATTTCTCCCTGCTCACAGGACACTCTGGCTGCACAAAAAAGGCATTTATTAGGAATAACATCCAACTGTGAAGGAAGTAACATTCAATGAGAGTCAAAGAAATATCAGTATGGAAATAGCTAAGGAAATATCCTCCAAGGCAAGAATTGGGATCCAAGGAAATAGTCAAGGATTAGAATCAAAGGAAAGCTTCCACAATTCCTGTATGGGTGCAGGAGCTAGAGAAGAAGTGTTGGCATCCATCTTCCCCTCACTCAAGTTCTTCATGTTGTATCTCTTCTTGTGAGACATCTATGTTCTCGTTCTGCATTTGTTTCTGCAATTCTTCTTCCTCTTTATCAAGGACATCCATGATGTATTGAACCAACAGCAATTCAGCTTCACTGAGCTCAGGCAAGTCCTGGAAATTGCCATGGAAGGAAACGATTTAGAGAGGTGAGGCAGAGCAGGTGGTGCAGGTAGAGGAGCAGCACTGGCATCTGTTCCTGCCCTTACCTGCTCTGCATCCTCTACATCCCTGTACTTGTTCTTCCTCCATCTCTGTTTCAGTTTTATAGACAGCCTGAAAATCAAAGAAAATAAGCAGTGAGGTTTGGCCGGGGAGGGCTGCAGGAGGTGCAGCACCTCTTCCTGCTTGGGGTCCTTTCAGCTGAGACAAAGGAAGATGTGGGTCCCAGAAAGAACATCCCTGTCTGGCCCAACACAGGTGCCCCATCTGGGAAAGCATCACTGGTGCATGAAGGGCTGCTTGGGTTGGCAGCTCCCGGCCATGCCCAGCGCTGTCGCTCAGGAGCCCCTTTCCCGGGGCTCCCCCAAACGCGACGTGTGTGAAACACAGCCAGGGGAGTCCGAAACACAGCCAGGGGAGTCCTGGGCAGCGGCACCCGCGCGGCTGCGGGGCTCGGAGAGGAGTTTCTCTTCACAGGAAAGACTCTTGCTGGCACAACAGAGGCACGGGCAGGGAGCAGTTACCTTCTCAGCCACAATTTCCAGCTGGGTAGCTGTCGGCAAACAGCTGCAGCACATTGGGAACACATCTTGGAAAAGAGAGAGACTTGTAACACCAGAGTTTTCTTGTCATACTCTACAGAACATGGGAGACCAAAAGATTCTTCATCCAACCCAGTCTGTTCTACACATGTGCAAGTCTGTGCCAGTACCAATGACTTTTAAAAGAATCTGTCCTTCCTTTTCAAATTCCTGCTTCTCTCTCCAGGAACTCAAAAAGCTGTTTGAACTCACAGAGCTCCCAATCTCATTGCTGTGTGGCTGAAGGCAGGAGAGCAAAGCAAAGCTGGGGAGAAGTGGGACAGAAGGTAGGACAAGCTTCCCCCAGGCAGGCTGAACCCTGCTGAGCTGGGTGCTGTGGATGCTGCCACAAGCTCCAGGCTTGGGAAAACCTCTCCTGTGGCACCCAGCACGTGCAGGGGCATCTGCAGTGGCACATGGGGCTCATCACCCCGGCACTCCAGCTACAAGACAGACAAATATGTGTCAGACAAGGTATTGGCTTACGTGGAAGACACACTTCAGTATCAGCAAAATGATTGCGATGAGAGACAGCAAAACCACAAATGTGATCGTGTCATCCACAGTCTCTGGCCTTGGCTGAGAAAAGACAAAAGATGATCATGGAGGGAAAGAAAATTGATCCTTCCATTCTCCTTTGCCCAGAAGGACACATGCAGCAGTGCCCAGCAGCTCTCCTACCTTTTCTGCGGGCTCCTGATCCTCCAAAGCTGTGCGTCTGGAGATGTTGTCTTGCAGGGGACACTGGCCCATGCGATCAGAGGCTCCCTGGGTCTCTTGCCTCTCACTGAGCTCCTTTAGAAGTAGCCCGATCATTGAGACTGTCCTTGCACAGGCCTGCTTGATCTGGGACAGGCTGCAGTCCATCCTCAGGGCTTGCTCCACATGAGCCATGAACGCCCACAGGCCTTCGTCTGGCTCCAGCAAGCGCAGGTGATGACTGACCGTGGTATCCAAGAGTTCTTTTGGAACCGGTGCAAGATCTGGGCCTTGGGGTCTCCCAGATTTTTTTACGAACATTGACCCTTCCTCCTGTTGCTTCCCCTGTGTGTCAGTGGTGGCAGGCATGATCAGGAGGTGCCCGCCTTGAGAGGAATGCTTCTCTTCAGCCATGGCCTCTGCCCTGCTGCTCTCAGCGAGGTGGCTCTGAACCAATGGGTCAGAGAGAAAATCCCGGTTCCTGTTTAGACGTTGCTCAGCTTTTCTGGCCGTGGCTCTGAGCTCTCCTTCTGCTGTCACAGGACTCAACACCTGGTAGAAAAGCTGATTATGTCCAACCCAGTAGGAGTTGTCATCCAGGGGCTGTTTGAGAGTACTGATGTAGTTCTGCCTTGGAGCTTGATCTTCCATCTTGTCTTGGAGGAATCTATCGACAAAATTGTCATGAGTGGGCTTTAACCCACCAGCTACATCCCAGGGGTTCAGTGCTTCCCTGTTCAAATGTAAGTCTATGTCCCTTTGATCCCAGTTTGAGGATGCCTTTTCCAGCATATCCTTCAGCCTGGCAGGCTGGGGCTGGTGTGGGACAATGCTTTTCACAGTCTTGGTGCTTTTAGAATTGTACAGCTTCTTCTTGCGCTTGGCCTTCAGGTCATCAATGCCTGTTTTGCCTTTGTGCCCCAAGAGATGCTGAGGGGGATATGAATTTGTTCTGGAATTGTCCAGGCTGCTGACATCACCCTCAGTGCTCAGGGTCAGGGCAACCGCAAGCGTTACAGTTCCATGACAAGAGAGCAGATCAGTGGCTCGGCACCAACACAGGCTCAGAGGTTACCCTGAGCAGCAGGAGCTCATCTCAAGGCCAGGGAGCGTGAGAGCAGAGGGGGGGATGTGTTGGGGAGAAGAGGAGAAGACCCCTTCAATCCATCCCATTATCCCCTTGGGGCAGAGCAGAGCGCTGGTTCTTTCCTGCTGTCTCCAGGGGCTCTCTTTGGATGGGAAGGAAACATCCCTGGGGAATGGGTTTCCTGTCGGAGACTTCCCCACAGCTCTGGATGAGCCAGGCCTGGGCTGCTCTGCAGGAGCCACACAAGAGCCAGAGAGCCCAGAGGAAAGATCAGCACTGCAATGGGGGCACAGACTGGCAGGGGAGAAAAGCCCAGGGACTCCTTTGCTCCGGGGAAATTCCCAACAGCAGCAGCTCAAGCTGTCTCAGCAGGAAAAACTTCCACAAGAGCACCAGAGCTCTGGGACTGTGCTGTGGGAAACGTGGGGCTGAGCCAGTGACAGAAGCCAGCTCTGTGTGGGGACCTTGGAAACCTGGCTGTTTCTGTTTGCTCAAGTCCAGCCTGCTGGATGTTCTCTGCCCTGTGCCCAGCTAGAGCAGGACAGTGCTTTGCTCCCCTTGCACAGCCCAACGAGGGGATAACGGTGCTTGGTGTTCAGCCTGCAGAGCACTTTGGGGGCCCTGCCCTCTCTCCTGCACGTGGGCCATGGAGTGTCCCAGTGAGCTGTTTCTTCTCCAGACAGGATGTGACCCACAAGATATGTACAATCACCAGGAACATCTCAAGCCAAGGGGTTTTGCCCAAGTCCTGCACTCCAAGGGGAGATCAGGACCCCCCAGGATGGGGCAGTGCTGCAGCAGCTCCCCAGGCTCCAGAGAAGTGGCAGATCTGAGCTCCCCCCAGCCCCTCCGGACACCAACCACACTGCGGGGCGCTGCCGCTGCACAGCTTCTCGCAGACGATCTGGATGGTCCTGCACGGGCTCTCGGGGCGGGGACGCTCCTGGCACAGGCAGCAGGCCACCTCCTTGGGCACTTGGCTAAAGACAAGAGGGGATTATTGGAGGAGAACCCAGCCACCCAATGCATGGCTCCGAGCCCAACTCAGGGAACACACGGGTACCACACATGGGGGTTGTGCTTCAGTGTGTGCCACAGCTCTGGGAAAGCCCCCTCACTCCCAGTGCAAAACTTTAGAAAGGGCATTTTATCCTGGAAACTGGAACTGCTCCCAAAATACCGCTTGACACAGAAATGCACCCGCCTGGACTTCCAAGTTCCCTTTGAGAAACCTGCAGCAATTCACCAAAAAGGTGAAATTCTGCCTCTGAATTCTGCCTCTGGTGAGTTTGGGCAGGTTCCCAGAAGGAAACAGCAACTCTTGAGCTTCCTGGGCTCGTTGTGGTTTTGTGGCACAGGGATTTGTTCCCCAAGCAGAGCCCTTGTCCCAGCACTCGGGGCCTGTTGGCGCCTGGGGCTCAGTCCCACACACTCACAGGGTTTCCAAGCTCACTGTGGTCTGCAGGAGCAGCAGCAGCGTCTGCGGAGTCACTTGGGTGGCACTCAGGTCTCTGCAAGCATTGGAAAGAGCTCATTAAAGTCTCCGGTGACACTGCCAGAACTCTGCTCGGAGAGCAAGCCCAGGGCCCTGCTGATCGTGGTGCTGTTGGCAGAGGCATCCACCTCTGCCTGATCAAAGAGAAGGCATTCTGGAGCCCAGCTTCTCTCAGCCTTGCCCTGCTCAAAACCAGGCCGTTGGAATCAGGAGGGCAATCCTGCAGCTCTCGTGGCAGACAGATGCCACCAGAAAGGACTGGCCTCTCCTGACCCTCCTGCTGCTCTCCCCGGAGGGCAGATCCAGCCCCTGGAGGAGGCAGCAGCCTCGAGCTGCTGGCATGAGTGCTCCAGCAGGAGTACAGTTCATTCCCAGAGCCCTGCGGCCATTCCACGGCCCCAGACGTGGATGAGCTCTGGTCCCTGAGAGTTTGTGTCCCACTTCCTGGGTTCCCCGCTTTGCAGCTGGGGCCACACCAGCGCTGCTTGGCCTTTGCCTTGCTCTGCTGGAGCTGGAGCTGGGGACACTTGTGTCTCCAGCAGACTCAGGCTGGGCAAGAGGGAGATTTGCTTGTGCACCTCTGCTGCTCTCCTGACAACAGGGCACTCGAGAGAGACACACATCTCTGTTGATCTGCTCCAAAGGAGCCAATACTTACAGTAAGCTCACTGAGGGCAGCTTGAAGAAGGCAGCGTCAGCAATGACAGCCAGCGGGTTGTGGCTGAGGATCCTGAGAAACAAGAGAGCTCTGTCAGGGCTGATGGCAAGGACGTGAGCTGGGTGTGCCGGGCACGAGGGGATGGCGCGGCCGGGATCAAGGAAGCCTTGCGGGAGATGAGCAGGGCAGGGGAAAGGGCCTTTCCAGCTGCTGGCTCCTGCTGCTCCCTGGCTGCCATCCACAGGTGGAATCAAGACTTCCCAGAGGGCAAATCTGCTCTTGCCCACTGGCCTTGCACAGACCCTGCAGAGACTCGCCCTGCCGTGCCTTTAGCCTGGGTGCCACTTACAGCTGCTGGAGAAACTGCATCCCGTGCCAGGCCTGGAAAGTTCCGCTGCGGATCCGCGTGAGCCCATTCCCGGAGAGGTTTCTGGGGAAAGAGGAGGTCACACAAAGGCCTTGGGCTAGGCCTACAGGAAGAGGGGGAAAAGAGGGATCCCCTTGTAGGAAAGGTGCACATGCAAGGTAGAAGAGGGAGGAAACTGCTGCTTTCGTGGTGTTTGTAGCCTGCGCAGGAGGGCAAGTGAAGGGCACAAGTGCTGACTCTATTTCTGTTCCAGGATGCAGCCAAGGCTGCAAGAACTGGCTGCTCTGATGGCTGCGTGTGGACAGCCCCGCTGGGGTCGGTGGCCCTGGCGTGGCCGTCCGGCCATCGGCACTGAGCTCTGCAGCTCAGCTGGGCTCTGAGCAGGGCACATTTGGGGACTGTTGGGAAAAGAACAGGAGCATTTTCCAACAGAGGAAGGGTGCCCAATGCAAAGATTGCGCTAAAAACAGCACAAGGAACCTTTATCACTCACAGAAGCTTCAGGAAAGGCAGTGGCTCAAAAGCTCGTTCCTCAATGGACAGGATCTCATTGCAGGACAAATCCCTGTTGCAGTTAGAAGAGCAAATGTCACTTCCACTTGCCCTGCCGCTTTTACTTGCCTCTGCAGCCTGGATCCCAGGAGGGACAAAGGCCACGTGCCCGCGGCTGGGCTGAGCAGCAGGGCCCCAGGGAGGGGCAGGCAGGAGCCCCCCACTATGGGCAGGGCACGGTGCTTACAGGTGCTTCAGCAGGAACAGCCCCTCCAGGGAATGGCTCTTCACTTCCCGCAGCTCATTCTTCCTGAGCACTCTGCAAGGGGACACAGGGACGTTGTGACAGTGGCTGCTGTCCAGCATCACCTGGGATTACCATGGGAAAATCTCCTGCAGCAGCTTGACTGAAGCATCTCTTTGGGTCACTGCAGGCATGGTCCCCACCCCTAGCCAGAGCAGGCACTTGCTCCCGGCCGGCTGAAGCTGACCACAGCTCCATCCCTGGGCAAACAGACACAGGGACGGTGCCCTGGGCTGCAAGAGATGCGCTTCAGGGCATTTCTTGCCATGCTGGGAAGCCGTGGCCATCGCACCCCTCCTTGCGGAGCAGCCTAACCTTGATTTCCAATGAAAACGGTGGTGTGGGACCTGATGCTCCAACCCCAGATTAAAGGACGGAAAATACCTCAACTGTTGACACTGGAAATGCTGCAAGGCACTTACAAGGTCTCAGTCCATGGGTAGTCTTTCCAGGCTTGTTTTCCAACAGCAGCAATGGAGTTTCCAGTGAAATCTCTGCAAAGAAGCAGAAGATCCACCCCATCCGCTCTCAGGAAAAGCCATTTCCCTGCCATTTGGCTGCTGAGCTGGAAGCAGACTTTGCCTGGAGAAGGCCCAGCATGTCCAGCCTGGCTTCACCCTCGTGCTGAGCTTGGGCCCCCAAACCCCCCTGTCTCCTGCCAGGGAGTCCCAAGGGTGTCCCACATGGGGTTTGCAGCAACAGGGGGCCGAGGAGGGAGGGGGAGCTGCAGGGGTCTGTGGGGCGGCGGGACTCACAGGACGGTGAGGGCCCGGCGGCGGCTGGCCGGGGGCACGGTGGCCAGGCCGGCGTGGCGGCAGTCCAGGCGCCCATGCCCTGGGCAGTGGCAGGGCTCTGGGCAGAGCTCTTTGGCCTCTCCTGGGGAGGGGGCCCCTGCCAGCAGCAGGGCCAGCAGGAGCAGAGAGCGCACGAGACGCGTCACCAGGTCCATGGCGAGGCAGGACTGGCTGCACTCTCCTGGCACACAGGCCTGACGTGGAGCTGTGGCAGTTCCTGCGTCACAGTGGTGCTGCCGATGTCACAGTGCTCCTTCTCACGTCCCTGCGGCAATGCTCCCGTGGTGCTGGCTGGCATCAGAGCTCACAGCAAACCGGAGCTCAGGTGATGCTGTCTCCAAATGCCTCTGTCACAGAGCCATCAATCTGCGGAATCGTGCAATGGATTGGCTTGGAAGGGGCCTTAGGGATGAGCCACTTCCAGCCCCTGCCATGGGCAGGGACACCTTCCACTATGCCAGGCTGCTCCCAGCCCCATCCAACCTGGCCTGGGACGCTTGCAGGGATGGGGCAGCCACAGCTGGTGCTCTGGGCACCTGTGCCAGGGACTCCCCGGCCTCCCAGGGAAGAATTCCTCCCGAACACAGCGTCTAACCCTGCTCCCTGTCACTGTGAAGCCATTCCCGTTTGTTTTGGGTTTGTGTGGCCAGGTTTTGGTATGAGTTTGTGGCTGCAGGTGCTGTTGAAATTTCTTTTGCTTCTTATTATCCTGCTGTGACTTTGTTATTAATAAATGTCATTCGTATCCCCAAATTCCATCCGTTGCGTCCGTGACGGTGATCGGGGAGGGATCTCTCCCTGTCTGTCAACTCCTGAGCCTTCGGCTGGCTTTTCTCTCTCGGTGCACTTGCGCAGGGAGGTGAGAGCGCCTTCCTTTGGCGGCCTCCGGCCAGGGCCAAAGGCCCGCACGGCTGAGGGAGAGCGAGGGGTGCTTCCCGCAAGGCGGGCAAAGCTCGGAATGTCCGCCGGGAGAGACGGAGGGAGCCCAGCGCCAATGGCGGGAAGCGTTGGAAGCCTGAGGGCGGCAGCTCCGCCTCGGCGCGGCGGCACCGGCAGCGGTGGCGGCCAGGCCGAGCTCGCTGGAAACGTCACCACAGCCATGTCCCTGAGGCTGTTCTGAATGGGCCAGGAGAAATGCTCCTTTTTAATGCCATTATTAAGGACAGCTCTAGATGGGGGGCCCAAGGGGTCATGCACACCGCTGCTGTTCCTTTGAACATAGCAGAGGAAGAGGTAATCAGCTTTGCCACCCGGCAGAGCTGAGAGTCCCCGGCAAGTCCTTTGCTGCCTCTCAGTCTAGGGGTGTCAAGTTGATTGAGTGCTGTTCAGGTTACAGTGACGAGAAGGAATCCAGCTTTGGTTAATGATCAGGTATTTTCTCCTGTTCTGCCAGCTCAGGAGTATCATTTTCACTACCCTGGTCGTTGTTCTTGGGGCTCCTTCCTTCTGAATGTTGTCGGGTGTCCTCTAATTTGCATATGTCCATTGTTGGGCGCCATTTTGGGGAGCAGCGGAAATGATACCCAACGGAAAGGGATACAGGTACAGGGTAAATGGAAATCAAACAATCCTTGACTTGCTAGGGGATATTTAACAATTAATAAGTCATTAAACCTTCAGTGATTAATTAATATTATTAATAACAGTAGTCAACTCGACAAACATTTGTAACAAGAATTCATGATTTGGGTTGATTTGGGATTTATTTTCCACAAGGCGAAGCACTCCGGCACCTGGACTCTGCAGGCAGCAGAGCCAGGAGACCAATGGCAGAGTTCCCAACCAGGCCCGAGCACCACATTAGCGCTGGCACAGAGCAAGGGGTAGCTCTGCCTCGGCGCAGCAGCACCGGCAGCAACTCTTGTGCACAGGAACCAACTGTGGCAACTTTGGCAACAAAAGGCCCAGCCCCGCCAGCAGCGCCCAGAGAGGCGCCCCGGGCCCGGGCGGGAAGCGCGGCCG